TATTATTTTCAAATGTCCGGCCTTTTAATTAAAATTCTGAGTGGAATTCCATAAGATAGAAAAAATATTCTTAACATTTTATATGCTAAAAAACCAATATTGTACAAGATACCGCGATTTTTTGACATTTTATGACATTTTGCGAAAATCTGACAGTATAATGTAAAAACCGACAATCATATAAATATGAAAAAATTAACGCTATCAACAAATACTTTTACATATAAGCCTATCATTGATGCAAAAATAAATCTCAGACTTTACAAAAATAAGTTTTTAATAAATATATTGTTTGACAAATATTTTTTATATGTACAAAATTTTTATATATATACATATAGAGTGTTATCTTGTATAAATATTCGATTTATAAAATTTATATCTAATTAAATTAATTATTATTAAGATTGTATAAAAATAAAAAGGAATTATTAAACAAATAACATCTATATTGTAGACAAATTATGTAAAAATTAATAGAAGGTTTATAGGGATGAATATTTTATTAATTACATAGATGGAATGTGAAATTTGATTTAATATTGCATATATATATATATTTTATTTTCAATTTTATTCACATGGAAGTAAATACATTGAACGCAAATCACACAACACATTTTCGCTCGAATAAATATTCATGTATCGACTGTAGTAGTATGTCGAAACGAAAGTAAAAATGAATTCTTATAAGTGCATTTGTTATTGAGTATATTATTGTAGAATCTGCGAGATTCATATATTTTAAAATAAGATTTTGATGTGTTCGTTTACATATCATTTTACAGGTACATCTATCAATCTTATCTACCATACATAAAATTTTTAATTAAATTCATCGAATTGAACATATTTCCGATGGATAAACATATTTTAAAATAATATGCGGATAGAAGGTATACATGAATATGATTGAAATTGATCACGAAGTGATTTTTATCAAATGAATTTTGATACTCGGTTCTCGTTTCTTTGGACAATTTGATGAAATAGAGTACTTGGCATCAAAGATTAGTGATTGTAATTAACGTGAACGTTTTACAAGTTATTTCTTTTCTCTTAACATTTACATCAGATATACAATAGATATATAATAGCCTCTTTCAAATGTAATTACCTTTGATTATCTATTGATGCATCAATCGAGAATTAGGCATTGAAGCTTATATGAGAAATGCACTAAGGCAATATCACTCGCAAAATAACATGTGCGTAATGTACATATGTTCGTATATATATGTATATATTTATATATGTACAAAAATTTTTATATATATACGAAATATCTTCTTTCTAAGAATAGAGTACAAAATATTTTAGGAAGATAACTGTGCGGTGAGACGATCAGAAATAGGAAAGTGATACTTTCATTCATGTTACTCTAGATAATTATGCTTCTTATTCACTACAAACAATATAAAGATCTTTAACTCTTCGTTCGAAACGTACATTTTTATAAGAAATAAGATAAGCTTACTAAAGAGTAATTAAGATAGAGACGCCCTAAATATATTTTTTATGCTTCGTTTTTCTGTTGTAAAAAAGCGTTGGCATCTAATGTTAGCAGTAAATTTTAATTAATTCCTAATATCCCTAATTTAGGATCGCCTATTCTTTATGTTTGAAATGCGGCATACATTTTAATATCGTAATAGTGTGTTACGTAAAAAAATAGCTTTACATGACATAAGAAATTCAAAATGAGGTGCGTTGTATCTCTCTCCTCAGAATATATAATTTTTTTCTAATAAATATGTTTTAATTTATTTCGATGATTATAGAAGATCATAGTCAGAAATTTAATTGAGAAGTCGAGATAGATTATTTAAAGATTTTGTTGCATTAACATGTGAATTATAACAATCATTATTCTATCGAACTTCTTTCTTTAAATTATTTATTAACATAAGTACAAGACAAATAAAAACCAGTTATAGATTCAACAAACTATTTTAACGGACGGATAGATATTTATGAAAGCAAGAAGAAGTCTTATAAGTTTAGAAGTACAATCTATGTATGATTCATTTATATTATGACATTCTCGCATGAAAATGGTATGTAATAGCATAGTAATAGTAGCATTATTCGTGTGCTTTCATTAAAAACATTGATAATGCTAAAGTGATAGGAGTATAAGTGCTTTTTAGTACGACCTTTCTGACCATATATCGACGATTTTCTATAATAAAGAGTTTGAAAACTAGAAATTTTCAAGTTCAAGTTTAAGTTTATGATAGTTTATAGTTTTGAAAGCACATTAAATATTTTTGTTAGTTACATTATAATATGATAAGGTACGTAAGCGAATGTATTAACCTACCTTTCATTATATTTTTCCGGGTCACTAATGTCTTTTCGGATGGATTTTTTTATCTATGTTAATGTTCATGTATGAAATTGATGAGAGGAAAGGATAGCAATGTATATATATTGATATTTACAGTGTGATGTTATTGAAATGCATTAATTAGTAATGATTAGCAATTTCGTTGACTTTATGAAAAATTGTATATATACAATAACATCAATGTCGATGTATATATCATAATACCACTTTGTGAATAGTCAACAGCATTATTTAATACTATGCATAAAATGACTTTAGTATTCATTAATAATTGTATATCTCCCATCAAATTATAATATATCTATAATTGTTGTAATTCAATAAGATTTCCAATTATTTTTAATATTTGCAGAATAAAAATCTTATGTGTATCTGCTTAATTTAAAATTTAAGAAAATATTCAATATATTTTTGTTAGACACAACATTAAATAATATAAATAAAGGACAGTATTTCTGTAGATTACCTTACAGTTTACAAAAAAATGTAATTATAATTATATTTTGCAGTTCCTTAATATATTACAATTTTTTCATTATATCGTTTTGTTCTCAAGCAAGATATTTGCGCACATTATACAATTTTTTTTTATATTACATACATATAATTACTGTATATAAAATATTATAAAATGTAATATTTTGCAGTTCCTTAATATATTACAATTTTTTCATTATATCGTTTTGTTCTCAAGCAAGATATTTGCGCACATTATACACATTATACAAATATTACATACATATAATTACTGTATATAA